GCTCCTATGTGGCGAGGCTGGCGGTGCCCTCTGAAGGTGGATCTAGTAGCCACGGCTCATGAAGAGTCAAGATCCGCCGCGTGTCCCGAGGCTTCCTCTACTTCCGAGTTCGGATCAGAGGAGATCCTTGCCCGCCCGCCTTCTCAAGCCACTTGGATATATGAATCTCGAGCACGGGGGATCTCGATTGTTCGGGGTTAAATGTCTTGCCCAGACGGTTGCCAGATGTTGTGGTCTGGGGGGACATCTTGATCGACGACGAGTGCAAACTTTACAGTGAAGGGGATCCATGCGACCTGGATCCGGATGAGTGTACCCGTAAGAGGGTGATCATGATGATTACGTCATGTGTCCGGTGGATCTGAAGATATGACATCTGGGATGATGGGTCAAGAGAGGAAGGGACATGCAGCCGAGCCTGGAACGGGATTTAGCAGATGAAAGACATAGAAGGTAGAAATCCAGGCAGGTATAGGCTAAATATCAATACAGACTCCAATCTGCACAGGGACACGCAAGTGCCTTCCTGCCCTCAAGAACCGGAACTACATTGGTCGTACGAGCTCCGAGAAGGTTGGGAATTGCGAATCTAGTGCTAATAGTGATAACTGGATAATACATTGGCCAGATCCTACAACCTAGTGAGCTTTTCCTTTACTTGTGCAGATCCGACAGGTTAACCGAATTTACTACTTGGTCGGTTACACCCTAGAGGTTCTCAACTCTCAAGATCCCGTCACAGGAGGCGGCAAGTACGACGCAAAGGAGCTACAAAGGCAAGGGAACACACCCGCAGGCAACCCTACGGCCAGATCCACGATCTAGGCCCCGGATCCATAAGCTCGAATATTCGCTTAGGATACGGAACCATCCACGGACGCAGAGTGAAGATTTTCCACTGCTGCTCCACCCCATCCCCACGTCTCGCCAAGACGCTCAAGCTTCACCACTTGAACTCTTCGGAAGTTACCGAGAGAGCAAGATCCCGCCCTACCGACGGGTACACAAGGTGAGGAAAGTTCAGCAGAACACGGATCATCGGGGGACCCCCTCCGTTAGTCGGTGTCTGGGTGCAGTTGGTAAGCTGGATCCGGCAATCTCGCAGATTTTGCTGATCCCGCTACACCACACACTCACGAACTCTAATGGGGGCCTGGCTGAAAATTCAGCAAAGGCGAGGCATCATCCAGAAGGCTGAAGATGACACAAAACGAACTGGGCGGCATGGGCAAAGGCCACCTACCGGTTAAAGCGGCCGCCTGCGCAAACGACTGTTTTCGACATTCTCAAGATGGCCCCCCAGATCATGAGCGACGGCTACGGAGACGGCAAGAGGCGTAAACCCCTCCAAGTTACGTCGCCCGAGCTGGGAGAATCAGCTATGGAAGTGGATTGAGAAGGTGGCGGAACAAGGATTTTGCCTCTTGTGTGAGCTTATCAAGATGAAGGCTCGGGATATCCAACGGGGAGTCTGTGATGCGTGGGATCTCAACTTTTCAGAAGGTTGGTTGACAGCGTTCGAGCGTCGACATTGTTTACGCTCTCGACTTCGACCTGGTGAAGCTGGATCCGCCGACTCTGACGCTGTTGCAACTGGCCGTCAAAAGCTTCAGGAGCTAGCCGATCTGTACGTCCCCGAGAACATCTATAACATGGACGAGACGGGGCTCCGCTCGCTCCATTTGCACCAAACGAGCACGTGGCGTAAAGAAAACAAAACAAGAAAACCCATCGCTCTTGCAGCAAACGCAGATGGCACGGACGCCCTTCCCGCGCTGTTTTTTGGGTCGTGTGAAGCAGCCCTACTGCTTCAAGAAACGCACTACAAAGGGGTAGGGTTTTAGCTATTGGGTCAACAAGAACACCTGGATGACGGGCCATATAAGATCGAGATATGCGAGCACGTGGACGACACATTCTATTGCTCCTCGATAATAAGTCTTCTCACAACACAGGGGATTTAGTTTGCACAAATGTCCGTGTGGTATTTTTGCCACCAAACACTACCGCGTTCCTGCAGCCGATAGACGCTGGAATCATCGCTGTGTTCAAGAAAGCGTGAGAGGGGGAATCAGTTACTATGGGTCTTTGACAAAATCGAGCACGGTGAAATCATCAGCAATAAGGCGTACGTAGTCGATCAGCTACAGGCTATGAAGTGGAGCAAGGAAAATATGGACTGAAATGCAAGGTAAGTCAACAATAGAAAACTGCTTTCGCCACACAGGGATAGTTTTCAATGAAGTGAAGGGAGACAATACTGGGGCTGAGTTCTCCGGTTACGGAGGTGATGCCACAATAGAGGACAGTATAGTCCGCGCTTCGCAGCTGGGCTTGTAGGTACACGTATATGTAGAAACTTCTTAAACAATATTTCAAATTGTAAGATAGGGTCGGACCACGGTACCGAAAGTGAGAGAGATTGCTGTACCAAAGTGGGATTTACTGGGCCAACTGGGCCGTGGTGGGCTTTCATAGCAAATCGGTATTCACCGATTTGGTACCGATAACCAGCTTACTTTAACCAAGATATAGCACCGCAACTTCGCAGCATATATGCGACTACTGCCAAGGTACCAGTTCAAAAAAGTTCAATTGCCACTCAATTCCCACTCAATTCCCAGCAGGATTCCCTGGGAAAAGGTCTTAAATTATAGGTGCAGACCCTAAAACTCGCTTAAGTACGCTTTACATTGACAAGTGCTAAAGTAAGCGTTCGAGCGCCAATCTTGCTGTGAAGTAGCATGAATCAGATTTAAAAGGGAAAAAACGAGCCCTGTCGCTCCACATCTCATTCTTCAAAATGCCGGGGCGGCGAAACAAGCAGCAAGACTCCGAGCCCGTTATTGGTCGACCCCGTCGAGGCCGTGGGCAGGCCAGCAGCAGGGGCCGTGGACGTAGTGGCCCTGCTACTGCTACTGCCGCACCTGTTCCTCCGCCAGCCACACGTGCCGTTGCACCCCCTCCTGCGCCTGCGCCTGCAGCTCCCAGCGTCTCGTCGCTCGCTTTGGAGCTCGAGGAGAAAGCGCGTATCCCTGATGAGCCGCGTCTAGTGCAGCCACTCGTGCGCACCCACTTCCCTCCCCGTCCGGGCTTCGGCAAGGCTGGCAAACCTGTGAAGCTGCATGCTAACCACTTCAAGGTCAACTTCAAGTTAGCAGGCGACGTGTTTCACTACGACGTCATGATGTCCGAGGGCGGCCGGAGCTTTGGTAACGATGGACCACCCAAGACGCTGGCCAACAAGATCATGGCAGCGCTCTTGTCTGAGCTTAAGCGCCAATTTCCGGCGTTTATGGTGGTATCCGACGCGCGTAAGAATATTTACGCCCCGCGTCGACTACCGTTCCAACTCCAAGAGTTTGGCTCACTCACGCTACCTGAAGACGGAGGCAGAGCCAGAGAGTTCTCCGCCACTGTGAAAGAAGCCGACCCAGTGGCTATCCGCATGCAGCAATTGGACGAGCTCTTCGCCGGGCGCTTGAATTACACGCCGCATGACGCACTGCAAGCGCTCGACGTGGCTCTGCGCCATTCTGCATCGCAGAGATTCACTGTGGTCGGACGGAATCTATTCAATGGCAACGGAGCCAAATCCCTCGGAGAAGGAGCCGAGCTCTGGTTCGGCTACTTCCAGAGCTTGCGAGCCACGCAAAACCGCCTTGTAGTCAACTTGGACTTGGCAGCCACTGCCTTCGTAGAGGAGATGGACGTGCTAGACTTCCTCTGCGAGTCGCTATCCTTGAGGAACCTCCCAGCTGCTCTGAATAACCCCCAACACTCGGCCTTCAGTAAGGCCATCCGTGGCGTTAAGGTGAACATCACTCATCGTCCAGGAGTGAGACGCAGCTACCGTGTTAACGGTCTGACCAAGACAAGCGCACAAGACACGTACTTCGAGAACGACGAGGGGCAACGTCTTAACATCGTGCAATATTTCCAAAAGACGTACAACCTGCGTCTCCGCTACCCAAAGCTGCCGTGTTTGCATGTTGGAGCCCCTCAGAAGAAGAATTATCTTCCTATGGAGGTGTGTCACATTATGGCGGGACAGAAATGTCCTCGCAAGGTCACGGACAACCAAGTGGCCAATATGATAAAGTTTACGTGCACGCCGCCCGACCAACGCAAGCGATCGATCGAGCAGAAGTTCCGTGAAGCTGGCTTCAATACGGACCCGACCCTGAGAGCCTTTGGGCTGGAAGTGGAGCCACGGATGGTTGAGACGACGGGCCGCCAGTTGCCACCGCCTACGATTGAGTACAGCGGAGGAGCTCGTGAGAATCCTCGTGACGGAGCGTGGAACATGCGCGGCAAGAAGTTCAACACGCCAGCGCAGCTCAAGTCGTGGGCGGTTATCAGTATGGCCGACCCGAGATACTGCGACCAAACGAGTATCGAGAAGTTTTTTAAGGCGGTGATGGCGCAGATGGGTCAGTTGGGCATGCGATGTCCGCCTAAACTGCCTCCGATCCTGCTGAAGCAGCGCCGGGAGGATTCAGTGCGTGGAATGTTCCAAGCGGGAGTGAAGGCGGCCAGTCAGACGTTCAAGACGCCGCCGCAGATCATCTGGATGATCAATCCGCGTATGGATGCACACGCTTATGGAGAGTTAAAGCTGATGTCGGACAGTGAGGCAGGGGTGGGTATTCTGTCGCAGTGTATGCTGTCGAAGCATATCCCGAAGTGCAACCCGCAGTACATCGCCAACATCCTGATGAAGGTGAACACCAAGCTGGGCGGCAGGAACGGTGTGATCAGTGGACAGCTGCCGCTGGTGTCGGCGTCGCGCACCATAATCTTTGGAGCTGATGTAACGCATCCTAGTCCAATGGACAGGAGTCGACCGTCTATCGCTGCTGTGACAGCCTCTATGGACGCCAACTTCATCCGCCACGCGTCGGCGATCCGTGCGCAGGGCCACCGTGTGGAGCAGATTATGAATCTAAAGGATATGGTGGTGGAGCTGTTGAAGCAGTTCTACAGGCAGACCCGTGGCAAACCAGATCGTATTGTCTTCTACCGCGATGGAGTGAGCGAAGGACAGTTCCACATGGTGTTAAACTTTGAAGTCACGGCTATTCGTGAGGCCTGCCGGACGCTGGAGGTCGGCTACTTGCCTCCGATCACGTTTGTGATAGTCCAGAAGCGTCACAATACTCGTCTGTTCCCCGACAACCCGAAAGATGCGGATCGCAGTGGCAACGTGAAGGCTGGAACTGTTGTGGACACGGGTATCTGTCATCCGATCGAAAACGATTTCTATCTGATGAGTCACGCTGGGCTACAAGGCACTAGCCGTCCCACGCACTATCATGTGCTGCTGAATGAAATCGGCTTTACGGCGGATGAACTGCAGACGCTTACGTACAAACTGTGCTATACGTTCGCACGCTGCACTCGTTCTGTCTCCATGGTCCCGTCGGCCTACTATTCGCATCTCGTGGCATTCCGTGCGCGATTCTTCCTGGCGGAGGGTAGTGACACTGCCTCAACGGTCTCTGGCTTCAGTGAAACTGCGCCAGAAACAGATACGCGCATGTATGACTTGCACCAAGCCATGAAGAGCGAGATGTACTTCGTGTAAACGTGTGGCATTGGTGATTCACGCGCTCTCGACTGTAAGCTTCATTGTGGAAGGTGAAGCTCCATTTGATTTATGAGTCGTTTATTGGAATTCTCTTTGCAGGTTACGAGGATTCGTGCGTGGTGAGGAAGGCATCACTCGAGTCCGCTTCATTTCGATTCGTCTACGATGGCAGTCAGACCAGAAATAGCGTAGAGTCGGATTCATCACACGGCAGAAAAATGAAACGTAGCTTGAATGTTAACTCGCATTTATGGATTGACTCCACTTGACTAGGACAAATTTCACTTGGCTCCACCTGCATTTTTAAAAATCCAAACTTACTTGGAGTACTGTATTAAAAAGAACTTCTCCTATTTGTTGGTAGGACAAAAACTGTGATTATGTGGCATACACAGGCCTCTTTAATGGGCAAAAAGAGACTCAAAGGCTTGTGGAGCAGCTTCAACCGGGACAGGTCCTGCTGTAGAAATCACTCCACTCGTTTTTGAAGTCGCATTAGGCGACGTAGCAACCTTGCCTGATGGAACGGTGCTGTCCAACTCCTCATCTTCGTCATCCGAGCCGAACATGAGCCGGAAATTCTCTGCCTCACGTAAAGCCTCTTCGGCAGCGTGTATATCTACTGGATCGTCGACGCAGATGGCTTGGTCCCGTCGTGGGCACCCTGAGGTGGATACGAAGGTGCGTCAGAAGATTCAGAGACATCGTCGTGAGCCCCAGAGCTAACAGCTTTACCTGAAGACTCGGTGGCGGTACCTTGAGCCGGCGGGACCCCACTCGAACCAACGTCGACCATTTCCACGTCAATCTGGTCACCACTGAGATTGACAACAGCGAGAGTCGGTTGACGCGGAGGTGGAGAACGCGGTGCAGTAGATGATGACGCTGGCTTGCGAGGTGGCCACAATCAGCGAGGAGACAATGGCACAGACCGCGACCGAGCCTTCGAGTGACGTCGAGGCGACTTGCCAGGAGAGCTAAGGCGAGTCTTCTGGCGTTTCTTCTGAGCGGCCTGCTTACACGCCTTCGGACTACTTAGCGAGCGACGTGAAGTTTTGGGAGTTGAAGGCTCGGTAGGTGGTGCATCACCGAGACCAGCGGCTGCCATAAACGTAATGGCCTTGGCGGTCGGGATGGGAGCCTTATCTTCGTCGGAGTCGTCCGACTCGTAGTCCGACACTTTGCCACCTGGTCGTAATCGTTTGAGAAGCTTCCCATGATCCACTTGGTGAGCAGCTTGCGCTAAGGCTGCATGAAGAGTCTGGGAGTCGGGCGAAAGACCCAGCAGCAGGCTGTAAACGCTGCAAAGTATCCAACATATCTTGGTCCAAGTCCAGAGCATCCAGATCCAGCTCACCTGCGGTGAGACCTGTCACAAGAGAGTGCGAACGAACGTTTGCTGCTGAACCCACGGTAGAAAGAACTCTCTGTGGAACGTACCATCAACAGCCAGACACAGGACTTCTGGATCCATCCTGGCCAAACTTACGTGTGCGCGGAGAGTACGGTTGACTTGGAGAAGGTGAGTGCTCCGAGTCTGCTGGTTCTCGAGGACCTTGGGCGTGTCATTATCGATGTACTTCCCTTTGGAGAGCTTGACCAAGAGAATATGAAGCTGGCGAGTTTGCCCAGTGTTTGCGCCAATTGAAGACTTGTACACCTCGCGTTCTCTAGCCAACTTCTTGTTCAGGGTGGTAATGAACGCGTCCCGCGCTTGGATTTCGCAGTGCAGGCGCTTCAGCTCTTCTGAGTGCTGTTCCATGGAAGACTGTACACTCGAAAGCATGGCATCGTTCTTGGTATTAGACTCGCGAATAATCTTGATGTCCATACGAAGAGCTTCGACTTCAGCGTTAGCAGCCTTCAGGAACGCCTCCGCGTTCTCCCGAGCCATGATTTCGGGTGCCACCGAGCGTACGGCGGCAGCAGTTTCGGTCTGTGCAGCTCATAACTGACGCTCCAGAAGAGCGACTCGGTCAGGCATGTCCATTAGCGCATCAGGAAGAGGCTGTACGGCAGCGAGAACATCGTCGAAGCCCATCGCAGTCTCGAGACGACGTTGTGTGCGGACATTGTCATGAAGAGGAGGCGCAACGTTGAGCTGCACCTGATGACGAGCCATCGCGGTCAAGTAAGGAATAATTGACGTCACCTTGTGATCGACTGACGCCTCCGTACTCTCAGCCAGTATGGCGCACAACGAATCCTCGGTGAGTAGTGGAGGACCACCAGCAGGCGCAAGCGGATCAGTAGGTGCCATCTCCGTTAATTCAGCGACAACAGGAAGTGCTGCAGGAGCTACAGCAGGAGGTGAAGGGTCCAGAACAGGAAGTGCTGGAGTTCCATCTGGAGAAGCTGCCGTCGAAGTAGGTGGGGCACACGGAGGGTCGTTCGATACCTCGGTGCTGCCCTCCTGTGAAACAAGACGAGGGTTACATGGTGATGAGCAAGGTACCGATGATTCACAGGAAAGATGCGCTGACTTACCTCCAGCTGCTCACGTTCACGTCGTCGGCGGGTTGGAGACACTGGAACGCTTAAGTCACGGCTCGATTGAGACGCTCGGACATCTTATGGCTTGATGGTGAATCGGAGAATGAAGAATGTCACAACGGGCACCAGTACCGTGGCTTCCATTGCGACAGGGGCAGTTGTGGTGTAGTGATTTCGCCAGAGTTGCGGATAATCGCCCGTCAACAAAGATGCGACACCGTCGAAGAGGTTCCAGCGACGAACCCTCGGTCACGTGATGTACGGTGACTCATAGGTGCAAGAGACTCGACGGTGTCACTACCAAACACTCAACGGATATTGGATACGGTCCAGATGTCACTCAATCCAGGCTGTCCTTAATAATAATGGACTGGCCGGATTCGCATTCAGCGGCCAAGAACTGACTATCTACGGTATGAACCCTCGGTGGCGGTTGGGATGAGTTCGCGGACTACTCAGCGACTCTTTAAAGGCGCGTTCACCGTCTGGGACAGGGCGCGAGCTGTTAAGGATGCTCATACGACGGTGCAGACGACGCTTGGCGCGCAAGAAGATCCATAACGGATCATTGTTCACTTGATCTTTGTATGTTTGATTAGGACTTCTTATTCGGAATAGGCCCGAAAGGGCAAACATAATTACAGAACAGAATTTCCACTCATACACACAGAGCGATTGTCCGGCTTCAAGGTAAGCGTCTGGTCAAGCTTGTTTGAGTGTGTTTTGCCTGTCGGTGAACTCGAGGCTCTGTAGCGAGGGTTCATCCGGCAAGGCCAAGAGACTGTGTGTATAGGCCGATTACTATAGGGAGGTTTTACGTGACGGCTTGTTGTTGGCTATTTGCACGACTATGGTTGCTTATATTGCATCCCTTTTATTCTTCCAACCGACGAGTGTTGAACACTTGGTGACCTCGTAAAAGGCTTATTCGTGCCTGGTACCCTTCCGCTGTTGGGACCACGAGGATTCATAACACCTATTAGCTTTGCTCGTGCTAGTAGCGTGTTCTTATTTTTACTGGTTGGCCTATATAAGTAGTTTACAAGGTCCAATCTATCCCGGTGCAAGGGTAGAACTGAGGTATTCAGGTTCGCCCGAACGATCGTTTGCTATCCTAGCAGACGTATTGTTGTGAGAGCTTCCTTACTACATTTGTAGCTAGAGTTCACGTGGGATTTTTTAGCACCACAGAACACCGTGTAGCCGTCGCGATCTTACTTTTAAATGCTCTCCATCAATATCGACCAAGCAGACGTGCGAGTGCACCACATCTTATACTGCTGTGTATACCCCCATGCAACTACTATGAGATCTCGATCCCTAGTGCCCATT